GAGTAGGATGGGAACTTTGATACCTCATCAAAAAAGGTTAAGCCTAGAAACAATGGTTGTCTCCAAATCAAACACCAATTCCATCCCATAAGGCAGGGTTGACTCTCAGGAAATTCCTTTTGCGAGTGTTTGAGGAGACGGATATATTTTAAGTATTTTTCACAATTTGGAATAGAATTACATCTGTTAGAAGGAACAGCCCATACGGTGAAGATAGATTATCGGCAGTTTAAAGCACCTTCTATCCTCAACAGCGCTATCCAGACATTCTTTGACGTTGGACATTCTGTGTGAAACGAGCAAAGAAATAGTCTTTAAAACCAAGTTGTGGGGGGTGCCCTTTTAATCAATTTCTTTTAAGTGTCGTAGAAGGCCACGTTGTTTCCTTTATGCCATAAGATTTGCAAGAGGGCATGACAGAATCTAAATTCGTTGGGCTCGTAAATAAACTTAGATTGATTGAATTGAGGGTCACCTTTAGATATTATTATTATTATTATATCAAATGGCAGCCGTTTTGATTGTTATCATTAGCCCTTTAGTTGACTTCAGTCTTCACAGAGGGGAAGGAACATCAAAGTGTAAAAAATTCAAGAGGGGGGGGGGACAGAAGAGTGTATCAAAGACGAAGGTAGATAAGGTGGAAAAAAGGTGGGATGAGTACTGTGAAAGTAGTCGAATATGACATATAGTGGGGTCATGGTAGTTTGAAGTCAACTGCCAGGTAATAGACTTTTTTTCCGTATGAGTATACGTTGCCCAGGGTGCCCCACGTGGAGGTAAGTCCATCACACACCCCACCTTTAGATATAAAATTCAGATGTATTGTTGGGGGAGGGGGATGCTAGAATAGCTAACTTCGATAGCTCCGGTTGTAGGCGCGTATAATGGCAAACAAAAAAATTTAGGCATCTTTGAAACTATGTACTTATAACTTAAATAGGTTCCCTGCAGTCATTGTATTAGTATTTAGCTAGGTGGATAATAGAAGCACCTGAAATTGCTCTTTGAGACATGAAATTCAAGTAGGAAAAATTAGTAGAGAAGATGAACTCTTGGACTCGCACATAAAGCATGTAGTTATGGGATCAGGCAGAGAAAAGGACATTCTAACCTACAGTTATGCCAATTCGAACCAGAAACACTGAAAAATTCTCCCCAAATGACATTTTTGCTTGATGCTGACGTGGAAGTGGGCCATAGTGTGTTAATTTCCAGGTACATTTGAAATATTAAAAGTCACGAGAATGATACCTGTTTGTGTGCCCTCACTAAACGAAATAGGAAACACTGAGTAAGCCTTAGTGACAAGCTGTACACCCTATAAGCGCTGAGGATTTCATCTGCTCTGGTAGCGATTACCAATTAGCAGCACAAAGGGCAAAGGGGAAAAGAGTTATGGCAAATCTCTTTCTACAATTATAAGATCCAAAATTTTGCGTCGTTATAAATAATTTATGCGGTGTATAATGAGCACAAAATAGAAGTCAATTAGGGTTGCCAATATAATAATAGCAGATTTTTTAAATGTAAACCCTCATCAGATTTTGAAGTCAATTCTATGTATTTTGTCCACAATTTGTAACACATTTTTTGCTATTAGGTAGTAAAGTATACTACGAGAATAAATTAATCCATGAATATGTTTAAAACCTAATGTGTGTGTGTGTGTGTGTCATCTCAGAAAAATTATGACAACCACCGAACAGTCGCAACCAGATATCGAATATGAATGAAAACTCATTTTCTATGAACATCATCAGACTATAGAATACCTAAAATAACATGCAAAGCAGTAGATAAATCGCACTTTTGGGAACTAAGTTATTCTTCGAAATTTAAAAGAGGGGAATCAATGCATTTCTGATCCCAATAAATCATATATAATTTACATATTTGATATATATATATATATATATATATATATATATCTTTCGTTCTTGAAATACTGTTCTGTTATCTCTCTCCACTTTTTGTGACTTTGATTTTCCTTCCCTCTGTGAAGCCCGAAGTCAACTAAAGGGCTGCCATTTGATATAAATAAATGTATGTATATTTGAATATTCTGCTAACAGTACAAAATATTAGGTAAATAGGAGAAAGTAGGCAAAATTATTTGTCCAAGCACTACATTAGTGAACATAGAAGTATAGCACAGATTTAGTCTTATCTGTATGCTTTTAGTACTAAAAGGCATTATAAAAAACATTGTGGAGCCAGTCCGAGGGATAAATCTCCAAGCCTGTCAATGAAATGCTAAAATTAAGACATCATAATATAAACCTGGCTCATTATAAATATTTCAAAATCTTGCTAACCTCATAATTCAAACACAGTGATACTATTATTGGTGTCTGCTTCTTGATCCTTTCCCACCATTCAGCAACTTATTAAATTCATTTCCTATTCAACTTACTCACTTTGTTTCTCATCGATTTTGTACTGCCATAATAGCAATGACGTAAGTCCTTAATTATGGTGACACAACTTACCCTTGATCGCGTATAGCAAAGGCCGATTATCGATTTGGCGTACTGTTCAAACTCGTGCTTTTGGTGGTCCATTGCCTGTCGACCTTCGGTGTCATAGTGAGGAAGAGAGTAGACAATTTTTGCGTAAATATTGCAGGCAATTAAGCTGAGAGCCAGAGAATCTTCGGCCTCACGCCAGAATATTAGAGCCAGCTGGTGACGATTGTTCAGAATGGCCCAAATGAAAAGTTCCTAGAAATGACTTTCAGTTTAAAAGAGGCACTCTGACATTTACCTACCTGCATGGGTTGTGGAAATAGCATTTTCCGACTGCTAGACTATATGAAGGTAAATATTGCATTAATATATTACATTTTTAATGATATTTAAATTACCACAATAGAATTTTGTTAAGTTTTCGTATTTCAATTTCTAGTGTTTTTGCTTAAAAGATCATTCATCGTTAATGAGTAGGAATTCGGGTTATCTTATACTTAGAGGGAATTTGCTATTTCAATAGTAAATTTCCTTTGGAATATTAGTGTTCTGTCGAATTGGCTGGTAAGGGGCATGTTTAGAAGAAAGTAATTTCAATTCTCAACTACCGAGGAAAGAAGCGTCTGAATTTGAAACACTACACTTACTTAACTCTTTTTCTAATAAGATTGCCGTCGATGAATCTCGAATATATATGTATGGGACACGTTATCGCTTTGTGGCCTGCACGCCAGGATTGGGAGGTGGGACACGTCATCGCATGCCTGCACGGCAGGATTGGGAGGTGCTACGTCATCGCATGCCTGCACGCCAGGATTGGGAGGTGCGACCGTACAAACAGTGACCAATCATTAACCTCTGTTTGTTTAACCTAAACCGCCATTCTGATCATGATTAAGCTCCATGCGTGTACACTTGACTCACAATAACCCTACTGACTAAACGTGTTCCGTGCTGCGCGTCTGTTTCCTTTATAGCTGGTCTACAGCTTAGCTGGTTCTGGGAGTCTAGCTAGATGTTGGAGAATCTGCCATAGAGATTTCTGAGCCAGTCAGGCTTTACTAGCATAGCAATCCGCTAACAGAGGAATGCGATACAGATTCGTTGAGTTTCAGGTATGTTTATGTTAAAATAATTGAGTTTTAAGGTATTGTGATGAGTTTCACTTAAATAATCATCAGTTTTAATGCAATACTCATCAGGTATTGGCCGAAATAGTTACATGTTAGTATTTTTATGCATATTTTAATGTGGGTATACTTTATGGATTAATTTCAAAACTATAACAAATAGACACTAATAATTATCTCGTTTCACTTACATTAGCAGTGATGTAAAGGGGATTGTGAAAACTTCCTAAAATTTCATTCAAGAGGATTTGAATAGTCGGCAGATTTATCCAGTCCTGTCGTGCTCTTTCCTCTCTCCGACGAATTGCCCGATTCACAATGTTGTCGGCTTCTCGAGAGAAGGTTTTGGGAGTTGCGTAAAGGGTGTTCCTCTGAGTAATAGATACTCGAATTTTGGTGGGCTGGCAAGCGATGTGAGATTGGTTTAACCCAATTTTGTAGTGGTCGAAGACTCTTCGAAGGTTTGTTGGATCGTCGATGTTATTGTAGAGATATGTCAGCGTATTGACGCTTAGATATGTTGACATTTCAACCAACTCACGATCGATTAGAAATTGAACGAATTCATTTCGATTTTCTAACAAAGCGGCTGTCATTAAGGCATTTAATTGACCTAAAGTACAAAATGCGCTATGCCACTTGGAATGTAATAATTTTTGGAATATCTTGGCTTGAATGAAATTTAACCATTTTGGTTTATTGATGTCAAATATGACATAGATTAACCAGGCAAATACCAAAACACAACTGCATCTTAGAACGCATAATAAAGCAAAGAAGGGCGAATTATTTGTTTATGGTAGGTCAGAATTGACTTCCTGATATTAAAAAAAATATTTTTATAGATTTCACCATGATTTCTGGATTAACTCACGTCTTTATTCTTCATTGTATATCAAATATTCGATTAAATGTGAATATTTCAATTTGTTTATCTTCAAATTAAGCATGTTTTGGCAAAACACGCTGCATTAATTGCAAACAAATCACGGTTAAATGATGATTACAGACGGGTAAATTGTAAAGACGAGATCAAATACATATTGCGATGCTTAGATGAGCTATCTCAGCATCTAGATGCCTATTTAATACATGACTGGGTGTGCGATAGACTTACCTCCACGTGGTGCACCCTGGGCAACGTATACCCATGCGGCAAAAAAAGGTCTATTAACTGGCAATTGACTACCGTGACCCCAATGTATGTCTTATTCGACAACTTCCACAGTGCCCATCTTACCTTTTGTCTGCTTTTATGTCTGTCTGTCGCCTTTACAACCATGAATCATTATTCTGTCAACCCCCCCCCCCCTCTCGACTTTTTTTCACTTTGATGTTCCTCCTCCTCCTCTCTGTGAAGACTGAAGTGGGCTAAAGGGTTAATGATAACTATCAAAACACTAAATAATCTCAATAAGCCGACTCGAATGCTTAAACGTGTAATTTAATTCTTCCTGAAAGACAAACAAATTAAGAAATCTCGAGAGTTCGTGTCAATTGTTTCAAAACGAAGATATTAAAAGTAGGTAGCTGGTAGTTTAAAGTTACATATCAAGACAAAATCCCCTAGATACCTCTTCCTTACTTATTTTCTTCCTTCCGAATACTTTCTTTAGAATTGCTAGAAGAAAATGTGGAGTTCAGGAAATGGAGTAGCATACTCAGCCGTAATATTTTTGTTTAGATTTAATTGATGTGGATCAAAAATATCCGTTTTCACTGCCAAAATAACAG